AAACTCTGACCATGTTTGATTTGAGCATTCTTAAAATGGGAAAAATGGGAGAGAACACAAAGAAAATTTGCAGATCTAATATTAACAGAAATTTGCTCTTTTTAAAAAGAAAAAGAAAGAAAGAAAAAAGAAGACTTGCATAGAGTTAGAGTACTTTCAAAAAAAATATTTATCTTTATTTGTATTTTTTTATTTTATCAATTTTTAAAAAAAATATATGTGGCTTTTAGAAGCAGTAAATAAAACATAGTTCACTATAGTGAAAGTATATACTGAATATCTGAATACAGTAGATAAGAAAAAGCACAATAAGTGACTTTTTAGTGTATGAAAATTGTTTGTTTTTTTAAACTCAATTTAATTGATTAGAATTCTTTATGCTCAGTGTTTGCTCTTCTTTGTGTGAATGTGTTGAATTGAAATAATGAACACAAGGTGAAACGGCTTAAGGCCTCTTAAACATTACACTATATTTAACCAGTTTATTATTATTTATTCTATTTAAACAAGTTAAACTGAAATAATTGCTGTAATCAGTTAATGTGGAGGCTACGATTCATAGTCTTAAACAGGTCACACCAAGGTTAACCACATTTTAATTGTAAAAAGAAAAATAACAATTCTCTGTGTGTGTGTGTGTGTGTGTGTGTGTGTGTGTGTGTGTAATGAAGGGAGATGTGTATATTTAGCCTCATTAAGACCAACAGGAAGCTCACAGTCCAAACAACATGACTCAGTAACATTAAGAGTTTTCATGTCAGAAATGACTCTTCACAGATTTAATGTCTCATTTTAATGAAGCCCACAAGAAAAGTAAACTTTGGTAAGCAGACATGTTGAGTACAGTTTGTGACTGAAATGCCAAATGTTAAACTTTCTGCCATTAACGAGATCATAACACTTTGAGGGGATGATCAAAGAAAGTGCAACATCCAGGTCATCAAAGCTCTGGAAAACTAGTAGGGAGAAACATATTGCCAAAATGTGCTTGCGTCCATTAAAGATGTGCGTGCTAAGTGCAGCGGTATGTTCTCCTGAAGGTTTCAAAAACTATAGAGACATTAGGTAGATCGATTGATGAGCAGGGAACTTCCTACTCAAACTTCCTGGAAGATTGATTTTTTATTTAAACAAGTGCGTTTCAAAGCTGACTAAATCCCCGTCTCAAACAGACGCGAATCTGCGATGAGCTGTCGAGGAAAGAGTGACTCCATTAAAAGCTCACAGCTCTGTTCAAAAAAACAATTTGAATGTCTGGCTCATTTTGGATTTTTTTTTTTAAGTGTTTTGTTTTATTTCCGTTTTACACGGCAGCCAAACTTTCCTGAGGGCTGGACTCACAAGCATGACCGAACACAACAAATCCCAGAAACACATACTTGACTTTTAACTGCTTAAAGTGCTCGCACTCAAGCCAGCTAAAACTTGTCAACGTCAGCAGCTGATAATGTAATTCTTCGTGATAAGTGTAGTCAGGTGCACATCTTCCCCTGCTGTTAATTCAATAAAAAGGGCCTAAGTGTTTATCATTTTAACACATGTAAGCTAAAGGGAGGTGCATGTCCGCGTATGGGAAATTTACTGTGTGGTATTTGCATTACATGATGACCACTCCAAGCTGTTATGAGCCTGGACAGCTTACATTAGTCTGTGTGAATCACTTTAGGCCACATAAATGGCTGTAACATGCGTGCTTCTTTCTCTAATCCAAAGTGACTGAACAATATACTGGCCTTCTTCAGATTTATTAAAAAATGCATTATGAAGCAGCAGGTCTGTATGCATGGCCTGTCAACACTATAACAAAAAGAACAAAAAGAACCAAGTGTAACAGGGGAAACCTCCTGTTGCCTTTATTATCCTTACTTAAAAAAAAGAGAGAAGAAGAGGATTTCAGAAAACACCTGCCTATGTCGGGTCATCAGTTTGTTCCTGATTTTTGTGTTTTTCTTTATATAAATTGATTGATATATGTTACAAAAGTCAGCAAGGAATCGGGTGTCCAGTGCTGGAAAGTTGAAAAAATACAAATTGTCAGCAAAAAAGGAAAAAAAAAAGTTGCATATTCACCTGAACACTCATGTCACTTTAAGCTATGGCCTCGTTTTTCATACAGAAGTTTCAGGTTAAAGTCATCCAGCTTCACTCTGTCATTCTGCAGTATTGTTTTCATTACAGTTCATTGTTTTCAGCAAGAGATAACATTTTGCAGCGACTCTCGGAGCGTGAACTAACTGGGATTTTAAAACCTGACATTTACAAAATAAGCATCGTGGGCACAGTTACTTGGTCACGTCCCGGGTCGCTCGCTATCAGAAACTGTTTCTGTGACATCTCTGCTTCATGTGAGGCAGTCACAGAGAGAAGTGACCCAAATGGACCAGAATACACTCACAGCTTTGAACTCCTGATGACTTGCGACCACTTCATGACACTTCCTGCCGCGCCACCACGTCACGATTTGGCCCCCGCGCCCTCCCCCCTCCGCTCAAGAGCGCCTGTCCCCTGGTCATACATCGCCCACTCAGCACAGATGGGATAACCACAGCATTTACCATTTCCCCGATTGCCTGTGGCAGAGGTGATTTAGAGCAGCTAATAAAAGCCACTCCACTCGTGCGTTAGTTAGCCGCCTCATTGAACTGAATGACACAGGACATGTTTGTTGGATTTCGCTAGGAAAAAAAGAAAATAAGTTTCTTTACTTTTATCAGTCTGTGGCTTACCACTTAGGTTTTCAGTACAAGATTACAATGAGCTTTCCTGAGTGCTGTGCAGACACTGATAAGTTAGCATGCTCCAAGGAGGCGCATCAGTTCTAGTCAAGCACAAGCAGGGCCACTTCCTCTCTTCCTAACTTATAGAAAACGACATGAAGAACACCCACCTCTCCAAGGAAAATTATTATTGACCATGATGAAACTTCACTTCCAAGTGCTATTCATTTAACTTCATGCTTCATTAATAAATTAACCCACCAGTATCAGTGTTCATCAGGAGCATTACCAGCATGTTTCATACATATGAAAGATTCATGCTCTCATCAGATGCTCATGTTGCAAGCACTATGAAAAGCATGCACTGCTACAGCATGCAATGTTATTGAATGACTGCATAATATTAGCGTTTGTTTATTCCACACAAAAAAGAGCGGGAAAACAGCTGAATATTGAACAGCATATACACCAGAGTATATCCAGCAAATAGGTTTGTTACCAAAGGCAAAGCCATTAAATAAGCAAGCTGGGTGAAATAAGATAACGTTGTATAACAGATCATATCAAGTCTATCAAGTCAGCTAATATTAAGCCCTTTAGTTTTACAGCTAGCTGCTCAGAAGTGAGCTGAACCTACCTGAGGAGGTGCCTAGAGCTTGTGACGCCTTAACTTCCATTGCATTTGCTCCCACCTTCAGTATAATTCCCCCATCAATACGTTTCTGAATGATAACTTGCACAAACTGCAAACGCTGTGCAGCCTCATGGACCTGTCAGTCCCACAGTGCAGCACTTAAAGCTGTGAAATAGCCCAGACGCTGCAGCAGGGATGAATGGGTGGAGTTTGAGGTTTGGTCCGACAAAGAGGGGTACAACATTAAACTCTCAGACTATTGACTGTAGCATATTGAGTGCTTTATGGAACATTACTCATTTCACACACAAAGGTTTCTCGGGAGATTGTGTAAGTTAGAGTGTAAGTGTATTAAGAGAACATACTGTGAATCTATCCACCCCTTTAAGGGTTTTGTTTTTTTTAAATAAAAACTTTTTAGCGTTTTGTTGTGTTAATTCATTTTTGCTTCGAAACAAGATTTATAGGGAATAATGAACCCTAAACATTTGTTTACATTTTTGTTGATCTGATCATTTCAACATTTACTGTGCAGGTTATAGGGGTGAATTCTGCTTGCAAGGTAGTTATGTGTACACCACGAGAGTCCTTGTGGGAATGAGAATAAAGGGATATAATATCCTGGTATTATAATATCTTATTACAGGGGAGTATATCCAGCAAAAACACTTGTTACCAGAGAGAATTACAATCTGTGATAAAAATTCTCAAAAGAGCAAAGATGATGTTAAATGCATAACTACCAGAGGGAAACAAGAGCTTGTAATACCTTTTTTGAGTGTAAATCAGTAAACCTTTACCAGATTGCACTGGACTCCATGCGGATGCCCAGATGACAATTGGATTTCACAAGTTAGATAACTAATTTACATAATTTCCCCAGGGATTAATAAAGTATTCTGATTCTCATTCTGACTGACAATAACTACCAAAATAAGTGACTGAAGACATTTTAAAATTTCTGCTAAGTAACGAGGCTTGTTTGTAGATCTGAAAGAACTTTTGTCGTATATTTTGTTATTATTTTGATTATGCGCATCCACATTTACATCAGGCTGAAGTGGAAGATCAGCACAGATGCCATACACAAAAAGGGGATGAGCAAGATCTAATTTCCTGAGATTCTTCAAAGTGTGCAGCAAAATCATGGATATTTTCTGTCACTCAGCTGTGGTGAACACAGTGTACTTTGCGGTGGTCTGCTGGGGAGCTGGTGACACCAGCATACTACATAAACCGATTAGGAAGGTTGGGTCTATGACTGGCTGCAAACTGGACACTTTTGTCGTGGTGGAGAATAGGTCTGTTATCCATCAGGGAAAATCCCAACTGCCCTCGGCACCCCTTACTGGACAAGCAGCAGAGCACTTTCTGTAACATATTCAACTCCACTCCCACCTTCTATCACTTGAATAAAACAGTTTATATATCTAGCAGAAATATACCTGCTAGTTAATATTAGTTATTAGGTTTATTATTATTATTATCATTATCATTACTATTGTCGTTGTAACAAAAGAATATAAAGTATTTCTCATTCGATTCGTTCCACTCTTCGCCACAAGGTGGTGCTGCTGACCTATCTACAAGCAAAGTATCCGCCCCTTGTCAGCTAGTTATGTTCAAAGTCCCGCTACACCTAATTGTTATTCAGAGAGTAAAAACTACATAAGACTACAACTACTTACTGTACTGTCAACTGTTAAAAACAGTAGTAATTTTTTTGTGTTTTTCATGGTGGTATTGCAGTATGGTTACTCTTGTTTTTATTGGAGGCGAACAGTAAAAGAGTGTTTACTAACCTATCGCTAGTGAACATACTTTGGCTGACTCGTCAGCCAGTTGATCTCGGACCAAAACAAACTCAAAGGAGGAAAAAAAGCATTTGACTGAGGCGTCTGACTTCCACACTGCTGTTTTCCAAATGTCGCGGCGATTAAACAAGAGGTGCGAGGAGGAGTAATTTATCATGCGGCTTGGAGACGCAGCTGGGCTTGTAGTGGTAGCCGCTAGCTAGAATGCTAATGTTCCGTAGCTAACGGTAACGTTATGCCAGATGACCCAACAGCAGTAGTAGTAGTTGGGAATAGAAGCTGCTGCTGCTCCTATTTTATTTGCCTGAACTCTCACCCAGCATTATAAACGGGCCTGCCATCTAGTTAGTTTTGTAGTTAGGCACCACGAAAACAGAGAAAACTAATTTTCAGCGTTGCCTTTTACTGCCTAAATTAAAAACTGAAGTATGGGGATGTGCTTACCGTGCCTTGGTGGAGCAGCGGACGACGTTGTGGTCACTCCAGATCCTGTAAGTTAAGTTACTATGATTGTTATTACACAGCTTTAACAATAATTCGGTCAGCTGTATAGTAGTAATGAGTACGAATTGATATAGGAATTAGCTGAGCCCACGTGAATTTGATTAATCACCATTAGGACACCAATGGGCCCTGGTAGGTAACGCAGAGGAGGCGTTGACTGTATGTGAACAGCGGCATGTTAATAAGTATGCTTTAGGCCCAACATGCTTAGCTCAGAGAGGACAGCTTTAGCTCACAAGTTTCCCATGTTTCCAACAGGAGACCCGGAGACAACAGTTAGCTGAAGCCGCCGAAAAGAGACAAAAAGAGGTAAGTTACGACGAGTCGCGTCTTATTGTCCATTTTTCAAGTACTAAAACATTGTTACACGTGTGTAGTACATTTACCAGGTTACTGGGTGCAGCTCGCTATAGCAGAGGTGTGTTATTCAGTACAAGTACAAACATGAACTCTGCCATCACTCATTGAAATCAGCAGTGAAGTTGAATTGTGTTGTTTTTTGTTTTAGCTTTTTTATAACATCACTAGAAGTGCATTTTTGGTAGTAGAATTAAAATATGAATAAAAGTCACCATTCTTAAAGTGAGCTCTGTAAAAAAACAAACAAACAAAAGTTTCACCAAAAACTGAACTTCACAAAATGTATTATTTACCGGTATTTATGTATTGGACTGTGTCTTTGGCGCCACATACGTACCCAGTAATCTGGTAACTGAGTGCAGTATTAAAGGTGGAGTTAGTTTACAGTGTGGTGAGTATTTTTTATCGCACAGAAAACCCACTTGAAAAAGAGACGCACTAGAGTTCTCTCAAGGTAAGTAGACCTGGACCAGGGTGAAAAACTCTACCTGGCCAGGTGAGTCTTCTGGATTGGCTTAACTACCACAACCTTGTGCTCCCAGTCACCGTTTTCATCCTTAAATCTTCCAACACCATGACAGTTCACACTCTGATGCAGGTCAAAGCACTGGTCTCTAACAACCCACAGTCGTTTCAGTTGAGCAGCACAGCACTGCTGAAAGTAGCTGCTTCAACCTTCAGCTGAACTGCCTTATTTGGCAGTTGAATGCCCCCTCGCTGGTTGTGGTTGAACAAGCCTTGTGTGCACCTGAAAGGTTGTGGTAAAATAATTTATTAAAACCCACATGCATGCTTTTGAGACTGTTTGTATATGCTGAAAATATAGACAAAACAAAACACTTATTATCAAGCTGTTGCATCTTGGCACTTGATTATACCCCACACTTTTTTCCAGACGGCGTACAGGGGTGTTAAAAATCCAGAAGCAGTCGAAAGGAAAAGGAAAAAACAGGAAGAAGCTGAGAAACAAGCGATGAGCACCTCTGTGTCAGGTGGTGGTGGCGGGCTGAAGGTCAGTTGTGTGTTTATCCTCAAACTTAGTGGGTTAAAAACAGAAGTATCTGTTGTAGATAGTGGCAGTGGTGGGCCATAAACTCATGACTCAGAGGGAATCAAAGTGATCAAAAAACGCTTTGGTTATACTGAGAGACACAGGATTGCACATGCCCGGTACCTCTCCTTGACCCATCTCCTCAGTAAAGATATTTCAACAAAATGAGACATCCTGCCTTCAGAACCTCATTTAAAAGTTTGTCTTGAGTGCATCATAAATCTTATAGATGAGCTATACCTGTATTTTATCATCTTAGGTGTAAAACTCCTTATGGCATGTCTTATTTTTAGGGCTACATTAAATTGAATTTATTAACTCATTAAAAAAGTTTTTTTTGCATCTTTAATAATTGAAACATCATATGATTAAAAAAAGAACAAGTTGCCCTTTTTAATCAACACTGAGATATGAAAACACAAGGCTAGAAAAGCTACGAACACAAAGTGGCACAACCAAGCCAACATAACAACAGGACCAACACACTATCAAACACAGTTCTGAATTATGTATTGGCATATATTTTTGTTTTTTAGACTGTGTGCTTATACACTTTATCTTCAAGTAACATCATAAAAAATATTCACACATGGTGCCCAACTTCAATAAGGGGTAAAAAGGAATGGGACACTAGGCTGCAGAATGTTTTTATTTATTTTTATTGTTTTAACGTAAATTCATGCACAAAATGTCTGAAACACAGCAGGGAGTTATTTGTAATTTGAAATATGAACTTTGGGTTGACATGGAGTTTATGTCAATCCAAACCACAGCATTGAAGAAGATAACAGGGGTGTTTATGTTCCGGCCTGTCTGCAGAAACATTCAGCACCAGCATAGTTTCCATTGTTTTACTTCAAGTAATAAAGCAGAAACGCAAAACCTGAACACAGCTGCACAGCATGTAGTTACTAGGGGTGCAACGATACACAAAATTCACGGTTCGGTTCGGTTCGAT